TAGCTACTGTTTCACTCCTGGGGTTTCAGATATTATTGTAAGAATCACTCTCTTATATCCCAGTAAAACTCTAGCACTGTATATGGACAGTGCTAGCAACTGCTGGAATGTTCCTTTATGTAATGGTAACAGCCATCAGTAGGCTAGAGATACATTGCGCTTATTATCCGTCTTCATATGAGAACATGTTTACGACACAATGTATGGCCTGTTGGGAAAATGCGATGACGGCAACACATAAGGTTCAGTAGGTCTGCTAACCCATGGGGCATATGGATATAAATTACCATTCAGTCATCAAAGAGTCACATTTCCAGAGCACCATACTGTTCTGAATAATGAAGGTTAAATTGTCCATACATATGCCTTTCTGTATAATCCTGATGACAATGCTGAATGAGCGCCAGCATTATTTCTGGCTGGACCACAGCAAAGCAGGGCCAGGACTATAAATGTGAAAGTCTGTCCATACTTACCAGGTGAGTGAGTAATGTTACACCATTGGCTGTTGCACTTTCAAAAAAAAGCACGGACAAATTGCCAGTAGCCGCCAAGAAACGTTGTGAGGAGAAAGACGCTCAAGGTATTGCGCAATGCGAAATGCCCCTTCGCTTTTATGAACAATGTGGCCACATTTTGCTCACAAAAATGTTGCTGGTCACTGATAAAGCGTTCTGTAAAAACAGATGCAAAGTTACCTCGCATCATAGAGAGAAAAAAACCCATATCTGCTTTTAAATTCTTCATAGAACAAGGAGTTAACGGGAGTCGCAGCTCCCAATACATCATGACAATTTGCAGCCTTTAAGGTGCACTGTGTAATGCCTAACATTTCACCTCTACTACTGGGTCCATAAAATCTAAATTTAGTGATCAGTTATAAAAACAACTACTAACAGCAAGGCAGGAACCTGCAAAATTCGACCAAAACACTGAGAGCTCTTCGAGATAACACGGCTATCTTATCATTTTCACATTTGGCATCGGCCTCTAGTTTACGTGAGCCATCAGTGTGCTTATTGTGGCAGGAACCGGGGGCTGTACGGTACGCTCTGGTGTACAGTACGCTCTGGGAGTTTGGGAGGCAGAGATGAGGGAGTGTTTTTGTACTGTTTTTAAACAAAAACGCCGGTCATATCTTACACTTTGCACCTTTAAAGTTAACATAGACTGCAGCCAGTGCAGACAATAATGGCGGCGGAAATTATGGTCTAGTAGTCTGTCGATCAGTTATGTGCTTGTGTAAACACATATTACTGGGACCACTACAGATGAACATTGAAGATTCAGGAATTCACACTATAGACGCTACCACTAACTACCGGTGTAACAATTTGCCCAAAATTGAACACATTCACGGCCATATAGGTTTCAACCGAGTTATGTTCAGTCACTTTCCCAACACGCGTGCCAAGCCCTTGGCCTGCTTAGCCGTGATAAATCGGCAGTTTTCTTGCTCAAGTTGGTCCTGATGTAAAAGGGTAATTGGTTAATAAATGAGAAACATGATTGCTTGCTGGTCCCCCGCTGAAGACAATAGTTATTTATGACGGCAGATGTTTGTGAAGTGCAGTATTCTTCCTACTGCCTGTCGACTGCAGGCTTCCTCCCACTGGAACACCTCATCCGATCCCTCTTGAAATGCAAGACTGCTGACCACACACCTGCCCGCCTCATTCATAAAGCATTACAAGATGTCTAAAAGAGACACGCGACTTTCCCCCTTTTTCTCAGACTTTTGCTTTTCATTCATTGAAATAAATACATTTTCTGCATTTGCTCTTCCTCATCTGTGACACACCTGAGCACAAGTGGGACTCGTAGCGCATAATACCGCTGCACCACAGCATGACTTTTCATTCCTCCTCTGAAATTATATGTGATTTGATTTAAATGATGTGTCTTCAGTGGCACACGGTGAGATTGATTTCACAGCAACACATAATGGATTTAGCGCGCTTGTGTAGCTCTTTAAAATAGCATCTGATACAATTGAATGCTCTACATATGTTTAACAATGTGTACTGACCTGGAACACTGAGTTTATTGTAACTATTTACCTGGTGATGTGCTCACTGAGCCTGGAAACAGATGAGGGTGTACCTGCCGACTTTCTCTTTCATTTCCTCTTTTTGAAAGTTGTGCTTTCGGTGTGTTTGAATCTAATTGACCACCTGGTTTTCTCATCCTCTCAGGTGTCAAGCGGTTACAAATATCCACACCATTTAAAAACACTGGTACCTCCTGTGTGTGTTTGATCATCAATGTGAGATTTCTATCTTTGAGAATGTATTCAGACTGTCCAAACTGGCATGGCATCTGTAGATACCATACAATGCATTTTTCTTCCAACAAATTTTGTGTGAGCAATTACCTTGAGCCCCTGATGGATTAAAATCACCACTCAACCTAATGTGATTGACCCTTCATTTTAATAGCATTTTTGTGGACTCAACAACTGCAGCAGGTAGGAAGAGACTGTTGTGCAACAGAAACACACTGAGACTACCTGTACTCATCTCTGATAAAGAGCGAGATTGTAATTATTTGCAGCATGGTAAATTAATAATAGGAGGTAAGCACCTGGGAGAGTGTTGGAGAGAGAGCTGATGGGCCGTGTGCAGCAGGAGCTGTGAAGGAGAGTGACCAAGCTCGGTCTAATCTTGGCTATCACATTACCTCAGCACCTCATGCCACATTGAGATGCTGGCCTCTCTCTGCGGCCCCCATGGCTCTACCTCCACTCACTTACTCTTAAAGTGACACGCCTCTTCTTCGTACCGGAGCCAAGGTAATACAGGTGTCCTCGTAACACCTTTTTCTCTGGAGGACGGTTTGACATATATGAGGATAGATAGGACTTGCCGGAGGAGGTAAGCCTGGAAACGTATCCTTAATGAGTAAAGATGATGACACTGTAGGCGTCATGTGGAATAGAGATGATATATTATTTGTTGTTGCTGTCATTCAGAGATATTTCAACAAATAGTTGAATAGTCAACAATAACAAATAGTTTTTATCCTGTAGGCACTTTCTAAATTCATTTTTACTGTTTTTTATTATTATTAAAAACTTAAGTTTCAGGCTTTTTTTTGTTTTGTCCTTCTGCGTTATGCTCCAGTTATTAGGGTGTCAGCATGGGGAATATTAATAATAATACAAATTAAATTTGATAATAATATACACTGATTTTGCACTTCCGGTACACTACTTCCTTAGCAATTATTTAAAGTGGTGTGACTTCAAAAAGTGCGGAAATGCAAGTGTTGCATATTTCCAGAAATAGCAAATTGACTTCACACGCAGCTTCAATGTGTTTCGTAGGCTCTCAAAATCAGTGATGTGCATTAACCGGTTTGGCTGGCTATGCCATTTTGAGAGGAAAGTCAGGTGCCTGGAGCCAGGAAACAATGCTCTGCACTCTGTTTGTGTTGTGATGCTTTGTTATGGCTTTGTTCTGCTCTGTTTGTCCTCTCCGTCATCTGAAGAGTGGACCTCACTCACTGAGCTCTGAGAAATGCTTTCTCTCTCTCTCCCTCTATGTGATAGGTCTGCAGAATATAGTTCCGCCAACCAAACTAGGCCACAGCATGATTTCACATTTGCTACTCAGCCAATAGCATACAGCTCGTTTCAATGTGCATCTATTTATTTCAGATTCCCACAGGCATTCACTGCTCCAAATTTGTTTTTTCATCATATCCTAAAAGACATTATTTTATTTGAATGTCCCCAAACTTATTATAATTCAGTATTTGTTCTATTAAAGTAAATTGTCTGCCTCCTGAACAGCTAATATATGAAAGTAGGAGCTGAGTGAAACCAGAATTTTTTTATTTTTGTGATTATCACTACGTACAATCGTAAGGACACAACACAGATATCTGGGCAAGGAAAGGGGACTTTATGGGGAATGAAAGCATGAGAGGTACCTGCTGGCTCAAGCCTGTTATTTTCCACTGCGATAGTAAATAAGCATTTCACCTGATGCATTCAGCTGAGCATCATGAGAGTACGACAGTCAGATGTGTTGCGTTGTAGTGTGAATGGGGGAAGATGCCATTGGCTACAAGGAAACACGTGCGTCATGTTAATCCTGCACCCGTTCCCTTCCAAATAGTAGAGTTTGTTTTTCTCGGTCTGTTGCTATGCGTTTGTTTGACCTTGATTGTGTATATAATGAGCGTCCATGTGTGCGGTGGTGTTAAATGTCTGGGCGTGGTGAGCTGAGATCTACATTGGCTCAGGGTCTATGGTAACACAGGACTGCTGAGGGAGAGAGTTGGGCTGTGTAACTATTAGAAGCAGATATCTCAAGAGGCAGCGTACACAGAACAAGGGTATACGGCAATGGTTGAATGGGAAGTGTGCAGGTCAGTATGCATGTGACTGTATGGGCTTTCATTGCTAATCAGTCAATTTACATTTTATGGATAAAGAATTACATGTTATATGTGTTCTTTTTGTTAGTCAGTAAATTGAAATAAGCAGATTGGTGTTACTGTCATGTGTGATAATGCAGAGCTAGAGCCAGGAGGCAATTAGCATTAAGACTGGAAGTTGGCACACAGCAAGTCTGCCTTTCTCCAAAGTTGGAAAATATGATTCCCAGTACGGCCAAAGCTCACTTGTTTGTTTGAATGGCACAATTGCAAAAACAATAATTTGTACTTTATCCATCCAGCAAGCACTTCTATGCAGTGCTGGTTGCTGGACTCAGTCAGTGAGCACAGATTTTGGTATGAAGATATTTCTAAATCTATTTCCCCCCTGCTTCGATGCTAAGCTAGGCTAACTACCTCTTGTCTCCAGCTATTAATCAAACGTAAAGACATACGAGTGGGATCAATCCTTTTATCTCCAAGAGAAGAAGCATATTTTACAAAATGTTGAACTATTCTTTTAATGTTGTTGATGTAATGGAGAGTGATGAAACTGCTCTTACTTGTCTTGAACATGCTATTCATTTCTCTTCTCTTTTCGTCTTATGTGTTGGCAGACTCGCATCCCTTCAGTTGCTGGGGAGATATCACACCACAGAAGACGCGGAAAAGATTTGATCAGGAACATCAAACAAAACAGGCCAATATCGAAGTGAGGTGGACGGTTGCGGAAGCCAAACGAGTGCAACGTACCACAAGAGCCATGTGGGAGGAGAGTGAGGGGGCTTTGCTATTCTCACGCATCAAGCCCGAACAATTTGTTTACTGATATACGTAACATTCCCCAGCTATTGTCCAGAGCTTTTCATCAGGGGGAGCCCCTGCTATGCACCACGGCTCCATTGGCTTCAGCAGGCAATCCAACCCTCAGTGCCAGGCACTGTGTGGGCATCCCACAAGTCTGGGTTCTGCCCACACAGGACTCACCGACTGCCCCTGAACAAAAATAATGAAATACTCCTGAGCCACTCCTCAGTGTGGTGGCTCTCCTGTCTAGTGTTAAATCGGTCTGTTGTGAAGTTCTGTCTGCCTCTTCACCGGCACGTTCCTACCTTTCAGTGAAAACCCTCTCCAACTCTTCCACTAGCTCCTTTTAGGTCACCACTTCGTTGTAATTTGCTTTCCCATCAAGCAGCAGCACGAGTTCCTTTGCGCTCACCACGTGGTGGAGGACCATGGGATGCCGTCAGAGCTCGGAGGAGAAGGAAGCGGCGCGGCGGTCGCGGCGAATCGACCGCCACTTGCGCTCAGAGAGTCAGCGGCAGCGGCGTGAGATCAAGCTACTGTTGCTGGGCACCAGCAACTCGGGCAAGAGCACCATCGTCAAGCAGATGAAGATCATCCACAGCGGTGGCTTCAACCTGGATGCCTGCAAGGAGTACAAGCCCCTCATCCTGTACAATGCCATCGACTCGCTCACCCGCATCATCCGCGCTCTCACCACCCTCAAGATCGACTTTCACAATCCCGATCGCGCCTACGATGCTGTGCAGCTCTTTGCCCTCACAGGGCCAGCAGAGAGCAAAGGGGAGATCACTCTAGAGTTGCAGGGGGTCATGAAGCGCCTGTGGGCCGACTCAGGGGTCCAGGAGTGCTTTCAACGATCCAATGAGTACCACTTAGAGGATAACACTGCCTACTACTTGAATGACCTGGACCGCATCTCTGCGCTTGAGTTCATCCCAACTGTAGAGGACATCCTGCGGTCCCGCGACATGACCACCGGCATTGTGGAGAACAAGTTCACCTTCAAGGAGCTCACCTTCAAGATGGTGGATGTGGGCGGACAGCGTTCGGAGAGAAAGAAGTGGATCCACTGCTTTGAGGGCGTGACTGCAATCATTTTCTGTGTCGAGCTAAGTGGCTATGACCTCAAGCTCTACGAGGACAACCAGACGGTAAGAGAGATCTCTTTTTGAAGGGCCCACATTTTCACAGTAAATGTATGCACATGCACACGTGTGTGCACTAACACATGCTTGCACACAGCAGCCACTCTCCCTAACACAGAGGTCAGATATCAACCCAATCAGCACAAATTCTACAAATACTTATAATTACGTTTTTACGAAGTGTGACCATTATTTCTCACAATGTGATTGAGATAATTCAAGTGGGGAGAAAATATCTCTTATGTGAGACAGATAACATTTATTTGACTCATGATCTTAGATACCAATAACCTTGGTATCTAGATTTCTGTCAAAGCAATTAAGATAATGATTGCGTCATTCACATTTTTATTTTGAATTTAATTTGAAAGGAATAATGGCTATATCCAAAATCATTTTTGGAAACTGGGCTGTTTGAGGATTACTTCAAATTAAAATAATAATATTTTAATAAAGGAAAGAGCTTTAATAATTTTAAATGCAGCAATTAGGAATTAAAAATATGATTGTTTCCCAGCATTTCATTAAGTAGATAAAGTACATTGCATTTCCAAATGCACGATCTTTAGCTGACTGAAAGATTCCTAAAGCAGCTTATCATTCAAAGAAGGATAACAGACCTAAACAAACAGAGTATTAAAATGCATTCTACTAAGTCTAGGTCTACAGCTACAGAAGGCAACTGTAAAACTTTCAATCTGTACAGAAATGAAATGTATACCTAAAATTGCAGATCAAAGGTGTACCACTTTATGCACCGTTATTCTCATCCTAAAAAGCATTTCTACCTAAAGTTATCCCTCTACAGTTCATTCAGTTCTGTTTAATAAACAATTGGGAAAGTCTTATTCAAATGTAATGGTCCTAATCCATGATTTTGTAAAAGTGGGTGAAACACATTCACACTGCCTTAATGTGGTAGTGAAACTATTTCAAACCTGTCTGAATGAGAGTGGCCGGCGTTCCTTATCTCCCCTTCATGGTTGTGGAATTTGAGCGATTAGCATATCCGTTTTGTTATCAGAGTGTTTTGGAATAGTTGGGTCGTTATTGCTCGTTTATCTGCCTTTTTGACAATGGAAGGTCAACAATAGATTCTGTTTTACTTTTTTAGGCTAGATCAGCTATGAGGGGTCAGCTATTTTCTATTTATTCACAGGCATGATCACATTTCTTTCCTACAGAGATTCCGGTATCTATTTACACCTCTTTATACACAAGAAATAACTTGAGGAGGGAACTTTGTCATTCCTGTGATTGAACTGGCCTGATAATTCATTGGTTCCCCAGATAAAACAGGGTAAAACACGGGAGTACACCGTGCTGGGTTATAGCACGAAATCAATTAGTTTTACAGGTTAAAAATAAAGTGTGAGGAGAAAAATGCAGTATGGTGTTAATTGAGTTCACAGAATAAAGTGTGAGGCTGTACCTGTGAGAATTAACAGATTGTGAAGGCACTGCATAGCAATGGGAGTTCACAGGTGCTAGAAAAAAACAAAAACTTTTATTATTCTAAGACAGGAGAAGAAGAAAATTCAGCAATGGATCAAAAGTACCAGAAAGAAAGACATCCTTAAATTAGAGCAGCCACCCTGCTGCAGAACCAACTATCAATACAATTTCTGCTAAAACTGACATTTTCATGGTTTCAAGGGTTTGTGGTTGAATTAATGCCTTTACAAGTGTATGTGTTTGAACACGTGAAGCAGAAGTTCTCTTTGAACACACCGGGGGTTTCTTCAGTTGGACAATGGCAAACTTGTGACAAAGTAACATTATTACTGGCTGTGATTTTCTGAGGCCTGTAACATGTTGCCTTATCTGTTTAAAGTGAAACCCGTTCACAAAAAAGCCCTTGGTGTTCCCGTTAACTGCATTTGCACAAAGACACGCGGCACGCCAGACATCAGCTGAACGAGTCCACATAAGTCTTGTACATTTCAGGTTTAGATGTGTTTTAAAGTGTTATGAGTGATGAGCACACAGAGTGTTATTCTTCATTACATGGATAGAACATGCAAATGGCAGAAATGTGCAGAAGTGTATCAGGATGCACCTCATTAAAGTATGACCTGGAGAGATGATCTACTCACATTTAAAATTGAACAGCACACTGTGCATGAGGCGTGTATTTAGTCTAGTGCAGTCACGCCACTTTAATGCTGAATAAATATGTACATTCGAACACGTCAGTGACAAAGCACTCATACAGTAACATAAAAACACATTAATGTCGTGGCTGAGATGGTACAGTCATTTGTAGTATAACGGAGGCTGAACATTTATACTGTGACCGCAGATTTGTGAAAGAGAGGCTGTACCAGCACCACATGATGGTGGCCATACTGGACATCGGGCCACGCCTTAATAAATTAACAGGACCATCAGGCAGACGGCATAATGCAGCAGCAATTCTAAATTTAAGTGTAGTCCTAATCTTAACGTTGCTATGGTTCCTTCAGCATCTACAGAAGGCTCCTTAGTGAATTCCTGCATATTGGAGCCGTCCGCTTCTATAACCACAGTCAGCTGACGCCACGCTGCCGAACAGCTGTTACCTAACACATCGTCTAGCCTCTGCATGCTAAATAAATCTGCAATGCGAGGAAAAGAAGTTTGTATCTGTGTAGTGTACGTGTGTGTGGTTACAAGGTTTACATGATACAACATGAGAGAATAACAGCAGTGAAACACGATTTGGTTTCTATTAAATTAGGTTAAGCATCAGTTAATATTAAAAGAATGAAGGTCAGTACAATGTGAGGGCAAAGGACTGACCCTGATTCTGGTGCAGAGAGAGAACAATACTAACAAGCTACAGTGGTAGAGAAAATGGCAGAAACAAATTCAGCAGATTAGTAAATATACGGAGAAAATATTATTCTTTTGGAATAAACAAACTAATATGCAATACCTACAAAATACAATATTTCAAATATACCCAGAAGCCCTCAGTATGTTAGACAGAAAACATGCTTCTAACACAGTTATCTGAATAGCAAAACACATGTCAGCCTCAATGCTCCAAACACAGACAAGGCAACGTATCTCAATGTACCAGAAAACAGATACTGACAATTAAGTAGAGCAAGAATGATAATGAATAGCAGGATAGTGGGCAGGCGGCTCTCAGGGGAAATGTGTACATATTTCGAAGAAAATGTTTTCCTTCTGTTTGGTGGGATCGTACGAAAAGGAGATAACTGTGCAGGCTCAACAGATGTTTCAAAAAAGAACAAAAACAGAATATCTTTGCCTTATCCTTTCGCAAGATAGCAAACCTTTTAAAAAATAACCTAAACTGCAACTCGTATGTATTAGGTTGAACAATAAACAAACTCGATTTTACAACCGAGACCACATCAAGTACTGTCGAGGTATGACCTTGACACATTTATCGGTTAAGCCTTCCATGAAGAAACATCTCAGAAATGTTGAATACATTTTCAGTAAAGCTGTTGTACAGCATATACATTGATTGCTAATTAATGGCTCCTGAGCACAACATGAACCTTTCCTTTCCTTCACCTCTCCTCACAACTGAGTCAATAATGTCCAATGGCATAGACCTGTGTGAGATAAAAAAAAAACTGATTCAACTTTCTGGACCAAAGGTGACTCATCAATTGTAGTTCAAGTGCGAATCTGACTCTTCCGTTTCTTAGTGAAGAACCGCAGTAGCAGAATGCTTGGTTAACAAGCGTGTTAGAATGAAGCACAACAGGGATTATAGGAGTTGAATGGCACGCCTAGAGGAGGCAAAGCACAGCGTTTGTTTTGCGAAATTCATTGGAAGTTTTAAGGGTTCATCAGTTCTTTTTGTGCATGCATATATACGGTGATCACTAATTAACGGCTCCCGAAAACAGTCACACTTATAGAAAACCCCTGCTTTGAAGGAAAATGTATCGTTTTTAATAAGAATGGCTTGTTGTGTCCAATAATTAGCTCCGTGGTCTAAATCTTCAAAGCTTCTGACAAATGTCACACGAGCAGAAAAACAAACTTCGTCTGACGAGATCGACGCCGGTTCAGTTTCAATGCACCGGCTCACGCAAGAGAGAAAATACACCATAATAATTACAGTATAACATTTACCCATCAACCCATCCCCTGATGCATTTTCCCTGTCCCATCCCTGTCTTCATAATGAATCGGTTGCCTTGGCTACTGTTGCTTAGCAACAGGCCAGTCAAATGCTCCTAATCCTGCGCTGTTGACAGTGAGCTGTGACTAGGGAAGGGAGGATGAGAAGGGGAGAGCAGGGAAGAAGAGAGAGGTGGGGTGGGGGGGGGGGGGGGGGGGGGGGGTGTGCAACAAACAGCGGCGCTGGAGAGAATAGATATGAGGTGTATGTGTGCGCCCTTGTATTGTGTGCCTGCGTGACTGTTTGTGGGTGCAACATCTGTGTAGTGCAGGTTTATATGCAATGGCTGAGGCTGAGCAACTGCAGCAGATCCTGTGTATGTGAGGTGAAAATGAAAAGCCTAGATGTGAGGTTATAGCGCTTGTCTAAGCTTGTGTTAGCCAAACATCAAGGCAGACACTGACCGCAGCGTCAGCTCTATTTCTACTGTCTCAATTATTGTTGTATTAATCTCTAAAAACAGGAATTAATTACCCCTCACATGAAAGACGAGTGGACAGGAATCACGGGTGTCTCGTGATTTTATGTTAAGGTTTGTCATGTGCGCTTTATCCTTTAAAGCCTCAGCAGAGACAACTAATGAACTGATGTGAACGTGAAATGACAGTTTCCCTGATCGCTGATTTTAAATCACATCAGGTCCGTTCACCAAAAGAGGAAGGTGTCAGACTGCTGTCTCGAAAGGTATTCAGGAATACTCTCCCTCCCTTAGCTACAGCATCTTGACTGCCTAATGGGTTATTGAAGGTAGCATGTAATTGAATTGCTTTATTTGACACAATTGTGTTTTAAAAAAGAGTTTTCCAGGAAACGGAATTCAAGGATTTGCCAATATTTTACACATTAGCAAAAGATTATTTATTGTATTTATTTATTGTTTGTTGTCCAGATTCAATTGACTTTAAATGTTACTAAAATGCTCTAAGATGACCTGGAGTCTGAAGATTTAGTGCGACACGTAAGTGAACACGTCTACCTTCAGCTGGACGTCATCTGCAATATAAACAGGCAATTATACAAAATTGTAATTCAAATGTGTGCGTATAGCTGATAATCAAAAATGTGATTTTGGTGAGATTCTAGCGCAAGAATAATATTATGTTCAATTGTGTACAAATGCGTTTAATGTTTGCTTTGAACTCTAAACCCAGCGGTGTTGCTGCCACATAGATATTAGTAATCAAACGGAGAGGGAAAACACAAAGGGAGAACATTTTGATTTTCAGGCACAGCAGAAAAAAACATGGTGACAGAGAAAATCATCTCGGTAGATAAGAGCAAAGCACTCCTTCTTACAAGACTGTGGCATTGAAAATGAACCTGAATGAATTACGAAGGGGTGGCTATACACTTAAGTGATTTGTATTAATGGTAAACAAAGCAATGACTTCTTCATTAATACTTAAACTTAATTAAAGCCTGCGCCTCTGGTCTACTCTGACAGGAAGAGGAGAGGGGGGGGAGAAGTGTGTGGTTGTGTGTGTGTGTGTGTGTTTGTGTATCAGTGGGTGTTTGAAGCGAAGGAAGGTAGTCTGCATGCTTTAGTGCTCTGAGGTGGTACCCTCCCCCTCCTCCCCCTCGCCGTTAAGAAAGTCTGACTGTAGGAGTGCCGTAGTGGCTAGGTGAGACTAGCGACTCCCGGGCTCAGCTTGCTGTCTCCTGCCGTACTAGCTGAGCTCTTGTTTTCACACCGTGCGAGGAGGAGTGAGGTCAAACAGCCAGACATGACTGTGTGTGTATTGTTCATTGTTTAAGGGCCAGTCTTAGTCCCCGGGGGAAACATACTTAAACAGAAAGGAGAGCTTATGTTTCATTGTGAGGGTAACAACATGTGAGAGAACGGGAGCAGAAAGGAAGACACATGAATGAATGAATGAAGATCAGGGCAACAGATACATTCTTATGCAAATTGTAGTGAACAAAGCCTTAGTTTGTTCCTCATGTGTTATGTCATTTTATTTGTTTAATAATAGGACAAAAGGTATTTTTGGAGAAAAGGTTTACTGTATCTTAGTTTGCAGTACTTGTGGTTCAATATTTTCAGTGTGTTCTTGGAAATCTTTTTCCCTCCAACAGTTTTCCTTCAGGGACGTATTTATTATTAGGGGCTACTTTGTCAAATTTGAACAAACACACTATGTTTTTCTATATAATCTATTATAACAAGGAAGTTTTAATGGACATAAATAATCCAATAATGTAGAGTTTTTAACTTAAATGAGCCGATGTAAAAACATGGACTGCATATAAGGGTGACATGGAACTTTGTTTTCTCATAACTTTAGGCTTTTCATCATTTTCCAAAAATAGTGCACTTACAACACTGAATAATCAAGGCTAACTTTGAATCCACACTATGATTGTCTAATCCTTGGCTACTCCCCTCGGTATCTGTTTTCATGCTGTGCAGATATTGTGATTTGCTCAGAGCACCATGTTGTTTCTGTAAACAGCAGTCTTCCATCTGACAACCTCCCAGTCACAAGCTACTGGCCAGTCGCCACATGCCAGCAGCTGCCATGAAAAAAAATCAACTTTCTTTTCTCTTATACATTCACCGTCACATGAGCGCAAACTGTACCGAAGCACATGGATGCAAACATGCAAATCAACAGCTACACACACACATTTTATCTTTTTCTTCTGTACCAAAACCAACAGATTGCCCCAATGCAAAAACAATACTTTTTTTGTTTTTGTTATGTCCTGTCCTGTCCCTGTCCTTAATGCTAATGCCAGTCACATGGTTCATATTCTTGCTGTTGCAGTCTTCCTTGCTTTATCTTTTGTGTAGCTCATTTATCTGCAATACATGGCAGACAGCCGTGATTTCCATTATTGTGAAACAAAAATGTGGTCCTGCGGGCTAATTTATGAAGTTGAGGCTGAAGAATAAAACAGTATCATAGAGCCAGAGCAGTTACGGTGCAGAAGAGGCTTGGAAGAGAACGTTACAGCAGTCTGTCCTCAGTGTAAACACACAGAAGTCTCTGCCTCCGTGTGATCCATTCAGATGTTCACATATGACAGTTATTGTCACATTTTCAATTATTCACAATGGCGAGATGTATCTGTAATGAGTAAAGTCACCTTCTGTCACCAATCATTTCACGGTATAGTGGTAAAAAAAAGTACTCAGCAGTTTCAGAGGAGAATGTGCAGAGAGTTCAAACGCAGGACTTCATGTGTCTGCGTCTCAAGTCTCTGTTGACATAACAGAGAAGCCGTACCATTGGCTCGCCAGTCAGTCCGTTTTCCTGTCTTCATTTTCCCCCTCAACTCATGCTGTACATGGTCTAATTTCCTCTCTTGGGTTACATGACACTTCTTGTGAGAATGCGGTCTGATTGTGTGATGGATCGGGCTGGTTTGGGTTGTTGCTTCAAAGTAAATATTACATTTTTCTGAAATAATGTCTTCACAGTGTGATCTTCTTTATATTTCCTTTCTCTCTCTCCACAACCACACAGAGCCGCATGGCCGAGAGCTTGCGCCTGTTCGACTCCATTTGCAACAACAACTGGTTCACCAACACGTCGCTCATCCTCTTCCTCAACAAGAAGGACCTGTTGGCTGAGAAGATCAAACGCATTCCTCTGACAGTGTGCTTCCCTGACTACAAGGGTCAGAACACCTATGAGGAGGCAGCTGTATATGTGCAGCGGCAGTTTGAGGACCTCAACCGCAACAAGGAGACCAAGGAGATCTATTCGCACTTCACCTGTGCCACTGACACCAGCAACATCCAGTTTGTGTTCGACGCTGTCACGGACGTGATCATCCAGAACAATCTCAAGTACATTGGGCTGTGCTAGGACCTGATTCTGGCAGGGGGGGTGGGGGCCACTTGGCAGCAGTCGGCCCGCCACCAGGCTGGATAAACAAAAGGCATGTCCGTCTGCCTGACAGTTTATCTCTTTGAAGAGGTGCAACAGAGACCTGCAAAAGAAATGAGGTAGTAAGATGGACGATACTGTAGATTTATGCGTTTCAGTTGAAACAAAAGAGCTGATGGGCCATGGTCAAGATGGGATTTTCACCCAATGTGTTTGCACTGAATATGAGTATGCAGAGACACCCAAACACACACGCACACACACACACACACACACACACACACACACACACACACACACACCAACACATATCCTTATGTTTGCTCACACAAAAGACCTTTGGATCAACAGTCAAGCACTTGTTTGACAAGGTAACACTGGAATTTTAGACAGCTGCCCCTACCTGCCTGCCAAACTCGAGGTAGTAGGTCTGTACTGATGGTTTTCAGTTACATTTGTCTCCTTCATTTTGTTTGCCACAGTCAATTAATGCTGCTTTACAAGAAGAATTTTGAAAGAATCAATGTTCTCTATTGGGTTGTCACCTTAACAATAACCAGTGAGTGCACCTGATGAGACGTGGGGAGAGCCTGTATATCTGAGGGGGGAAAGAAAATGTCAGTCGACATGATGTCACAGGGTTTCTACCTAAAAGAGGAAACTGCCACAGCGTAAATCTGAAGTAAAATACGTTTTCTACACACTATTTCTGTTTTTCCCTCCTGGTCAACTCTCTAATGTTGTTCTTTTCCCTCTATCTTTTATCTTTTTTGTGTTTTAAAGAACGATTATGTCTCTCAAACCTGCTTTTTATAGCAGGTCACTGACCTATTATAATACCAAGAGAGTGTTATGCTCGGTAGTCAAAAGTATTCTTTATGATCATTCCAGTTTCCAGCAAAGAGACAACAAAAAAACAGTGCCAAGATCAATTTGTAAATAAAACCAGATCCCATCCATTATGTTCATTTTTGTTTATTTTTTATGGACAAATACATTTAAACATGCATGATTTTGTTACTTTGGGATACTAATATATTTTCTTTGGGATTATGCTCCTCTTTTCCTAGGTTTAAATAATATATTCCCAAATATATGTGTATATATATATATATATA